CAGGAAGTCCAACATTTTACTGACCACATCAACTCTGTGGATAAATATATCAAGTTCACACGAGAAGATGTAAAAAATGACAGGTTGGCTTTCTTGGACTGTGAGGTCTCAGTCTCTGATAGAGGACATTTGCAAACTGAGGTGTACCACAAACCCACACACACAGACCAGTATTTGCAGTTTGACTCCCATCACCCTTTGGAGCACAAGTTAGGAGTCATCAGGACTCTGTATCACAGAGCAGACAGCGTCCCCACTAGCTCAGGAGCCAGGCAGAAGGAGAAATCCCACACAAGACAGGCTCTAGAGCAATGTGGATATCCTAACTGGGCCTTCCTGAAAGCAGAGAAGAAACCCAAACAGGACTCCAGTCAGCCAACAGGTGAAAAGGAGGAACCCAGACCCAGACCAGTGGTCATTCCATATGTTGAGGGAGTATCAGAGAAACTGAGACGTTTATTTTCTAAACATAACGTCCCAGTGGCTTTTAAACCCCAAAATACATTACGGCAAAGACTGGTTCATCCCAAAGATCCAGTCCCCCGGCACAAACAGAGCAATGTTGTGTATGCTGTTCAGTGTCAGAAGGGCTGTGATCAGTCTTACATCGGGGAAACTAAACAGCCACTGGCCAAAAGGATGGCCCAGCACAGAAGATCAACATCATCAGGCCAGGACTCTGCGGTCTACACTCATCTCCAGGCCAGCGGTCACTCTTTCAGGGATGAAGATGTTCACATCCTGGACAGAGAGGAACGATGGTTTGCGAGAGGAGTAAAGGAGGCCATCTTTGTGAAAAGAAACCGTCCATCATTAAACAGGGGTGGAGGCCTCCGTGTTCAACTGTCCCCCTCTTACAATGCTGTGATTGCTAGTATCACTCAGCCCTCTGTGAACAGTAAACAGCCATCAGGTGCTAATGACCCATTGTTAGGCTGATGGTCCTTCTTGAGCATGTGATCAGCTGGTTTTGGTTGTCAGCAGCAAAACTGGTTGATCCACCCTGAGACGGTGCTATTTAAGAGACTGAGCTGAAAACAGCTCCTCAGACTGAGGAAGTCTCTCGGATGAGAGACAAAACGTTTCTACATTTTTTTGTTGATTTGCTTTGTTTTGTTTTTTTGAATGTCCAGAGGACCAGATTTAACTTTTTTAGATTTTTCTACCTGGATTATTGAGCATGCATCAGGATATTTGGGTATCTTGGTCGATTCACATCTCTCTTTTAAGCTCCACGTGGAACACTTGGTAAAGAAACTGAAAGTTAAACTGGGTTTCTTTTTCAGAAACAAATCCTGTCTAACCCTGAATGCTAGAAAACGCCTTGTATCTGTGATTTTCCTTCCCTCCATTGATTATGGTGATATTATTTACATGAACGCTCCTACAAGAACCCTGCAGATGTTGGATGCTGTCTATCATGGTGCACTAAGATTCATAACTGGCTGTGATTATCGTACCCACCACTGCACCCAGTATTCACTGGTTAACTGGACATCATTAACTTCACGCAGACTCTCTCACTGGTACATCTTCATCTTTAAATCACTTCTTGGTCTGTTGCCTTCATACATCTCCTCCTACATGTCTCTGTGTGAGTGCAGCTATAGCGTGCGCTCTCAGGACATCATTACCTGCAGTGTTCCCTCAGTGAGGACTGAACTAGACAAAAGGGCCTTCTCCTACTCCGCTCCTGTTTCCTGGAATATCTTGTAAAAAGATCTGAAGCTCTCGACCTTTGACCTCTCTAAGTGGCTTTAAGAATCTGTTGGACTCCTGGCAGGGTCCAATGCAGACATGTTCCTGTTTTTAGTTTTCTACATTTGTCTTGGAATCTAGCTGTTTTTTTTTGTTTTTTTGTTTTAAGTTACCTTTTCCTTTTAGCCATCCTATTTGTAAAAAAAAAAACCTGTAGTATGACTTTTTATAACTGTTTATTGTTGTTGCTTTTGTCCATTGTTGTCATCTTTCTTTGTTAAATCAGGTCTCTCTTGTAAATGAGTCCTCGAGGCTCAATGGGATTTACCGTCTAAATAAAGGTTGATTGATTGATTGATATTTGAGTCAAAGCTTTGTCCCAATTGTCACACAGGCACATATAGTAAACAGCTGTAACTACAAAATAAATGTCTAAAAAATAAACTATTTACATATATTGGTTTATTTTTTTAGATCTTTATTTACATATATTAAATAATAATCCTCTTCAGCTGCGCCGCCTTCACGACGTTAGTAAGTGTGTGTGATCTGCTGCTGCAGGTCCGACTATGGTAAATGATAAATGGAATGTACTTATATAGCGCCTTTTTTATCTTATTTCAAGATACTCAAAGTGCTTTACACTACAATCTGTGCCTCATTTACCCATTCATACAGCTCTATACTAGATCTCTACAAAGCTAATTGAACAAATCATTCTCAAGAGACTAATCAGAGCTTTATCACATTCATACACCGATGGGACACACATCAGAGGCTATGAGGGGTTCAGTGTCTTGCCCAGGGACACTTCGACATGTGACTGCTGGTGGATTCAAACCCCCAACTCTCGCATTGGAGGACGACTGCTCTAACCACTCAGCCACAGCCGCCCATGTTTTCAGTCTCCTTCCCTGAAACAAACCACAGGTCAAAACACATTTAGCCGTGCTGTGCTTTATGAGAGGAAAGGTGAGAGGTACACTTGAGGTGTTTTTTTGGATTGTGCTTTGTATATTTCAGTTGTGTATATCTACATTCAACATAAAATTTATATTGTTGTAAATAAGGTGTCGTGTGACAGTACTTGCAGTATTTGTTTATGAATTTTGAGGATTTCTGAGGGTCAGTATACAGGTACTTCAAAGGGGTTGACATGTTTGAATCAATGTTTGTCGTGAGTGTTGGGTCATCCTTCTGTCAATTTCTGTATAGATCAAGTAGTGCGTCTTTGCTGAAAATTTAAAGTAGCTTCACCACACACTGGTTGTTTCCTCACAGTTAAACTTTCTAAAGTATTTAGACAAATCAAAACTAGCTGAATCATGCTCAATAGTCCAGGTAGAAAAATCCAACAAAGTTAAGTCAGGCCCTCTGGACAGTTTCATTTTGTTGAAATGTTTCGTTTTCCATCCAAAAGACTTCATCGGTCCGAGGAGCTGCAGCTTGAGCATTAAAGTAAAAATAATGCCATTAATTACATTGAGGTATTTTGAGCTTGTATTGTCGACGTCTGTTTTTAGCAGTTGTTCTTGGTATTTTTCATGCAAAACTGTCCCTTTGATAAATTACCAATTTTCTGACACTCAGCAGTTTGTGAAGCTTTGTACCTTAAAAAACTTACAATGAAGTTGTTCATTTCATGCTGTTTGCAGGTAAAGGAATTCAACAGGGAGACTATATCTGCATTGTGACAAGTGATGAAGAAAATCCCAGCTTGGACTCGCCAGTCACAACATCATGCTCCGTAGAATTTTCAGAAAAATCAACTGTAAGTTTATTTTGGTGTTCATAGTTTTATAGTTTAGAAACGTTATTTTCAGCACTGGTAGTTCATTCACTGCAAAGCTGAGATAGGGAAAACGTAGCATTCCTTAAAGGAATGCATATTTTCCATGCCAAAGTTTTAAACCAAGATGCTGCTCAATCTGTTAGTGCTCAGAGTTTGAATTGTGGAAGAGTCTCAGTTACTAAATGGATGGTAAATGGACTGTACTTGGATTCTGTAGCACCTTTCTATCTAGTCAAGATACTCAAAGCGCTTCACAATATAACCTGTGCTCTTATTTGCCCATCTACACAGCATTCTACTAGATCTCTACAAAGCTACTCTGAATCTGTAGAGAGTACTCAGTGTTTTAGATCACATTCATACACCGATGGGTTCAGGTTTGGTTTATTTGCACCCTGTATTCACAGGTTAACTGGTCATCATTAACTTCATACCATACTCTCTCACTGGTACATTTTCACCTTTAAATCCAATCTCAGTCTGTTGCCTTCATACATCTCCTCCTACATGTCACTCTGTAAATGCAACTGCAGCGTACGCTCTCTGGACATAATTACTTGCAGTGTACCCTCAGCATTGACTGAACTTGGCAAAAGGCCTTCTCTTACTCTGCCCTTGTAACCTGGAACACCTTGCAAAAAGATCTGACTCTCTCGACCTTGACCTCTTTAAGGGATTTTAAAACCTGCTAATTTCATGGCAAAACCAATGCAACCATGTTCCTGTTTTTAGTATTTTACACCACTTTATAGTGTAGCTGTTTTTGTCTCGTTGATTTTTTCCCTGTTTTTTGTTTAGTTTTTATTTCATTTTCTCTATTTAATGTTAATTTTATATGACTGTCTATTATTGTTTGTTCCTCTTCTGTTCTTTGTTTAAACAGCTCTTTCTTGTAAATGTGTCCACATGGCTCAATGAGACTAATCAGTATAAACAAAGTTTGAATGAATAAACATAGTTTTGACTGTTCTCACACTGGATGTGTAAAACTTAATGAAAAAGTGTGCCATTTTAGTGTGGCTGAATCTGGGTGTAAGAAAGGTCCCTATTGAAAATTGGGTTACCATATTAAAATCCAAGATGGCTACTGCCATAAATATGTATAAACTGACCACCCTAACATTTGAGGAACCTATGCTTTCTAGTTTTTATATTGCTTAAATGTAGAGCTGGTCAATAATTCGATATCGATATATCTCGCGATATAATTTTATTCAATAACGATGATATGAGTTTTAAGCACATTTTCGATATTTCGATTGGATTACAGTGCATCACTGACGTATTTCTTTTTCTGTTCGGGTTGAAGCGGCCACTTCAGTTTCAACCTGGACAGAAAAAGGTGCGACACAGCTACCTAAGTGCGTGGTGACGTAATGTTACGCAGAGCTCAAGTCCAGAAGGCGTTAGTGGTAGCAGGCTAAGCTAGGCTAATCTCCAACGCGCGTTAAGTTTTCTCTTCAAAAAGAGTTCCATGATCGTCAGAATGTGACTGAACAACTTTCACAAGCGAAGAGAAGCAGATGACATCACTGATAAGAGAGGAAAGACTAATTTGCTGGTTTGGAAGTGGTTCATCTTTCTAAGATCCAGTAAACTGCAGGTTTCAGTCAGTGTGCTGCAAAATGTGACGGAGAGTCGTTCTAACTCGCGGTTGGAACATCGAACTTGTTCCACCTGACACAAGATGATGAGTCACAAGATGAAGCACAATAAAAGTTTGAGCCAACGTGTCCCTGAAACACCCCCAGCGCTGCATGTTCTGTTTTTATCATTAATTCATTCATTTAAAATAAAACAAATTCATCAGAAAGAAAAAAAAATATTGAATGAAAAGGTTGAAGAAAGAAGAAAAAAATTCTTATCTGCCCCTAATTTAAAAACTACAAAATAACTACAAACAAACAACAACTTTGACTTGAACAATCTCCAAACTGAAATCAAAAAAACTTCAGGTATCCTTCACCTGGTACTAAACCTTCCCAACAACTTTAACGTAATCATCTTTTTAAACATATAAATTGTTTTAGAAATGTTTATGGTGATATCAAGACAATTCATAACCCTGTTCCCTGAATTACAACACAGCTCCTTCACACTAGTTCTAAATGGAGGTTTTACAAACATTTACATTCCCTTAAGTTATATTGACTCCTTTTTTTATATTTATTTTTTACAAATTTCAATTGAAGATTTGGGGCTAATATTTTTATGAGCTTTATACATGACTTGTAAAATACTATATTCAACCAAATCATAACATTTTAATAATTTCAACTGATGAAATTGTAATGATTGCGTGTGTACCCAGAATGAAAGACCAGAACTGAACAGTCTTCAGGACTCAGATAATAATTTAAAGTGTTTGTTTAAAGGTTTGTGATAAATAAAACATCAATGAGGGAACGAGAACACCTGGGGAGAGAGCGGTAATTTAAAGGGCTGTAGTTGGATGAGAATATATCTTGTTGAATAGTTCTTACAGTGTGTAGCAGGAAACAGAATGACAAGGTATTTTGTCCAGATGGTGTCCAGTGGCACAAGGTGAAGCAACAAGAAGATTTAGGCAAGTGGTAGAAGGCATCCAGCAATTGTAGAGAGGCAGGAGGAGTCACAGTTCATATGGAACTCAAGCAGGGCAGGTAACAGCAAGATCCAAACTCTGAGGAAGCATAGAGAAAAAACACAATATTAGTTTTCACTAATATCACAGAATAACTGGCCAGAACACAACTACCGTTGGTAGGCAATGTCCCAGCGCCTGCAGAGTGGTTCCTGAATCTTCTTATACTCCTCCTGGGTGTTGAGTTGATCATCTGCAGCTGGAGCCAATTAGGAGTGTAGAGGAGAGAGGAAGGCAAGGTGCCGGGCAGGATCCTTACATTACCCCGCCTCAAGAGTCGCCTCCTGGTGACCTGAAACGCTTCTCTGGGTGTGCCCTGAAGAATGTGGTGATGGGGCTGGGGTCCAAGATGAAGGACCTTGGGATCCAAGAGCGCTCCTCTGGACCGTAACCCTCCCAGTCGACCAAATACTGGAACCCCCGGCACCGAACATCCAGGATGCGGCGGACCGTGAAGGCTGGATGGTTGTCAATGAGACGGGGGGGTGGAGGGAGGTCGGCAGGAGGGCACAGTGGGCTTTCTGCGACGGGCTTGAGTTGAGACACGTGGAAGGTGGGGTGAATCCGCATAGATACGGGTAGCTGGAGTCTGACTGCCGTGGGACTGAAGATACGTGTGATGCTGAAGGGACCGATGAAGCGGGGAACCAACTTACGTGGGGTGTCCTTGAGGTGGATGTTCTGGGTAGACAGCCAGACCCTTTGTCCAACCTTGTAAGATGGAGCTGCAGATCGGTGACAATCCGCAATCTCCTTGTTTTTAGCAGCCGTGCTCAGCAGGGCGAGCTTAGTTTGGCGCCAGATCCGACGACATCTCCTGAAGTGATGTTGCACAAAGGGAACTGCTACATCACCTTCCTGGCTGGGAAACAATGGTGGAGTGTAACCAAGGGAGGCTTCAAATGGAGACATACCAGTAGCAGATGATGTGTGGGTGTTGTGGGCATATTCCACCCATACCAGATGTTGGCTCCATGTGGAGGGATTGTCCTCCACCACACACCTGAGGGCAGCCTCTAATTCTTGATTGGCCCGTTCAGCCTGACCATTGGACTGTGGGTGGTTACCTGATGTTAGGCTGACAGAGGGCCCTAAGGAATTACAAAAGTTCTTCCATACCTGGGATATGAATTGGGGTCCTCTGTCAGAAGCGATGTCCGATGGGATGCCGTGAACTCTAAAAACATGTTGGACCAATAGCTGGGCCGTCTCCAAGGCCGAGTGAAGCTGGGGCAATGGAACGAAATGAGCTGCTTTAGAGAATCTGTCAATGACAGTGAGAATAACGGTTTTACCATCAGAGGGGGTCAACCCAGTAACAAAGTCTAGAGACATATGGGACCATGGGCGGCTAGGGGTGGGAATTGGCTGTAATTTTCCAGCTGGAGGCTAGTTGCAAGTCTTACTTCTGGCACATGTGGGGCAAGCAGCTACGTGGTTCTTTATATCCTCGTTCATGGAGGGCCACCAGAAGTGTCTCTTAATCAGAGCTAGCATACGAGCAACACCTGGGTGACAAGAAATTTTGTGAGTGTGGAGCCAGTTGAGTACCTTAGCCTTGATACTGGTGGGTACAAACATAATGCCAGGAAGGCCTGTCCCAGGGTCAGGTTCAGACTTCTGGGCCTCTAAGATGTCCTTTTCAATGGACCAGGTTAATGAACCAACCACACAGGATGAGGGTAGGATGTTTGGTTCCTGTTCGGTGTCCTTCGGTGGTGAGAACTGGCGAGACAGGGCATCAGGCTTCACATTTTTGGATATTTCCGTGTCAGCTTCTCATCAATAACGACACCCAAAAAGTTTATTTCATTAACAACGAATTTCAATGCTGTCAATTTTAAAGTTGTTGTTTAAAGTTACAACTATTAATATTGACAAAGTTGAGAATTTTATGGTTATTTGACAGTGATTTCAATTTTTTGAAGGCTAAATACAAATAAAAGGTGAACATTAATTTATTTGTATAGTTTGAAGTTTTTCTGAGGCTTTTATATTGTTTATATCGATATCAAATTATATTATCGACCGAAATTAAAAACTATATCGTGATAAAAGTTTTGGCCATATCGTCCAGCCCTACTTAAATGTTAACTTTCCTCAAATGATTTGGATGACACTTTGGGTGACCAAAGATTAATCTATGGTGGCCAAGGCCACCATTGGCCACCCTCTGGCTCCCCCATTGCACCTGGTTGTTGATAAAATTTCTCCCTCCACTCACCAGAATCTATCACTGTGCACTGCCTTGGAGGTGCATACATAAATAAATAAAAATAATAATAACCTTGCGTAAATAAAAAAATAACCTAACAAAGAAAATAAAACTACCTCTCTTATTATACAGTGCATGTGT